ACTAGAGGCCCGGGGCACGAAATTCGTGCACTGGGGATGGGTGGGGGGTCCCTTAGCCCAGCATGTGCCCTCTTGCAGTCCGGGACCCCTCCCTTGTTACTGCCCACCTGCTTGCTGCTTCCTACCGCTTGGCTTGCTGCTCCTTAGTGCTGCCACGAAGGCCTTGGGTCTGCTGGGTGCCGGGCCTGCGGGTTTGTGTCTCTGATACCCCCAGCAGCCCCAGCACCAAGGTGGCGGGCCTTGGGGCTGCTGGGTACAGGCCCCCCGTTGCGTGTTTGTGTCTTCTATCAGGCCCCAGCAGCCCCAGCACCACCTAAATAACTTAAGGGAAACTTTATTTAGTCTTCTTTTAAAAGCAATCTAGTTTAAAAATGAGTTGCAGTTAAGACAGAACAAAGAACATGGTACCTAAGAGTGAGATAGACTGACAGAGGAGAGGCTGGGCACTGGTCAGGGGCTTACATGCCAACTGTTCTCCACCTGGGAAATGATGTAAAATCGGTTTCTTTAGTTTTCTGCTTAATGGTCTTCTCCAGCACTGAGGTCAGAGGAGCCGCCTTCCAGCCCGTAGGCTGCTTCTCAGAGTCGAAAATTTCGCCATAGGCCTCTGCCTAGGACAGGACCTCTGCACCTCCAGGGTGCATAAATACACAGGGCTTCCATCAGGCTCCGCTGATCCAGGGGCCGGGAGGCCTGGCGGCTCTGCTGATCCTGGGGCCGGGAGACCTCTCGGCTCTGCTGATCCCGGGCCGGGAGGCCTCCCAGCTCTGCTGATCCCCGGGCAGTGAGGCCTCTCTGCTCTGCGGCTTCAGGGCTGTTTGGCTTAGCTCTACCGCTTGGAGCCTGAGTATGCAGATTAACCGCCATCTTTTAGCTTCTATAATTGAAACATTGTATCTTTTGGAGCTGTTGCTTCAGGAGCTCAGAGACCCGCAGCTGCAGGCAGGAACCTTGGTTTCCTCTATCGCTGGGGCAACCAAGCATCCTGTTCTCAGCTGCCTGGCTGCCTGCCGCCATCTTGGCTGACAGTTAATTTGCATATACTCACTGATTAGCCAATGAAAAGGGTAGCGGTCGTACGCCAATTACCATGTTTCTCTTTTATTAGTGTAGATAATACATGGCCATTATGGAAAGTACAGGAAGATACAAAGCAGCAAAAAAAAAAAAAAAATGTAAAGCAGCAAGAAAAATAATTTCAAATGGCTTCCCATCTCTTGTTCTAAATCTGGTTTAGCTCTCTGGGCCTACACCTGCTTGCATGCATCCGTTTGTTGGCATATGATTTCTTGTGGGAAGCAAATAACTCCTGGCTCCCCAAGCCTCAGAAGAGGATGTGCCACGTGTCTGCTTCTGTGCGGCAGAGTGAGGGGTGAAAGGAGGCACCGAGTGAAAAGGCTGGTGTGTTTGGAGTAACAGATGCTGAAACTAGAAAGACTCTTCAGGATCATCTGCTCTCATCCCTTCATGTTTCAAATAAGGAGACCCATTCTCCCTGGGCTGGGCTCCTGGCTGCCACCCTATTGACCCCCGTGAGGAGCACCACCCATCTAACCCGTGTAAGTGCCAGGGCCTCACTGAGCCACATTTATTAGTGTATGGAGTGGCCACCCCCTCCCCACCCCCCCCTCCCCCCCCGCCACACTTCCTCTTCTCTTCTGTTCTACAGATCGGCCAGCTGGGCCGGCAACACCAGTCTGCTCCGGACAAGTCCCGCCAGCCCTCTCAGCACTCTAGCCCACGTGCCTGGAGCTTCTGGATGCTGTGGCCAGAAAGAGATAGTAAAACCTCAGGATGTAGATGCAGTGGGAGGGAGGAGGCACACCGGAGCTCTAGTTAGCAGGTGAGTGAAGCAGAACTTTGTTCCCCAGTTGGCTTTAGGTCCCTGTGCCTGTCCCCTCTGCGTCCCCACAGGGAGGAGAGGAGGCTGGCGGCTGGATCCGGACTTCCTGGGTGCCTGGCTATCCCCTCATTTAATAGCAGCAACTCCCTCTTCAGCATCTAAGAAGGAGGTGGGACTCCACCCAGCATAGAACATCCAGTTCACGGAGAAGGAAGAGAAATGCTCAGTGAAACACTCAAGAGCTGGAAAGACAGGGTACTACTCTTTAAAATCAGTAGTATAAGGTTCTAAAAGGAATCTGAAGACCAAGTATTTTTTTTTTTAATGTGGAAAAATACAGGGGACCACAGAGTCAAGTGCAGTAAAGTTAGAAACATCAGCTGATTTTCAAATATACCACAGTTGTGGGCTGCATTTAACTTATAAATATTAAATGACCCTGATCAGAACCGAAGTGTGGCTTCTTCAAAAATGCTTCCTTTCCACCATTTAGTGAAGCTGGTTGTAAACCACCGAACCACAGGACTCTGAAGCTGGAAAGGACCGCAGCTTTCATCCGATCTGACCAACGTTTGAGAACGATCTTAAAAAGCAATCTCCGAAAGACACGAATCGTAAATCACACACATCGCGGTGAGCAGGAAACGGGGTTCAGAGTACAGGGGAGAGGAACTGGTGGCTTTAAATAGGCATTGCAGAAAGGACCGCTGGACTCGGCTTTTACTTTGATGACATAAACCCAAACCCCTAGTCTTGCAAAGTACTTCTAAAAACCTCTGACCCCTAAACATTCTGAAGCGGCAAGTTCTAAAGCCGCCTAACTTCTATTTCCCAATATCTGCAACCCTCTCTGTCCTGCTCCCTGGGCACAGGGATGAAAGCACCTGCGGTGTGCACGGAGTCGGCGCAAAACCTCCGGGAAGAGCAAAGGTGGGCCGTTCCCAACGTTCTTGTTGGCCCGGGGCTGGGTGATATTTGGGCATATCCTGCTCCCCATGACTTATCACCCATACCTGTTCCGGGGCAGTGGGGCATCTAAGAGAAGTAACAGGGACTGCCAATGTGCTCAAGAGGATTATGAGCCATCGGGGCTGACAGGCATTAGATAACCTAGCGTGACACAAAATCAGGGGCTGAAGAAAGGCTTCGTGGAGACAGAAACAGCTGAGCGAGACTTAACTGATGAGTAGGAATTGAAACAGCAGAGAGGCGAGCACTCCACTCCTGCAGCCTTGCAAACACCTGCATTGTATGATGTTAAAAAAATGATGCTTAGCCTGGCCAGTGTGGCTCAATGATTGAGTGTTGACACATGAACCAGGAGGTCACGGTTCCATTCCTGGTCAGGGCACATGCCCAGAATGCGGACTCGATCCCCAGTAGGGGGTGTGCAGGAGGCAGCCAATCAATGATTCCCTCTCATCATTGATGTTTCTGTCTCTCTTTCCCTTCCTCTCTCTGAAATCAATAAAAAACATATTTTTTTTAAAATGATGCCTAGAAAAATGCGTATCTGTTATCTTTTGCCACTGACAGAAACTTTTGCAACAGTGAAGTGCAACAAATCTAACTCCTAATCAAATGATACCATGCTCAGATGCCTAGAAAAATGCATATCTGTTATCTTTGCCACTGACAGAAACTTTTGCAACAGTGAAGTACAACAAATCTAACTCCTAATCAAATGATACCATGCTCACCACTTCATTCACTCCGGCATGTGGCCTTGTGTGCAAGAATTCACACCAGCAATACTTAGACTTTGCTATGTATGTATGTATGTATGTGTATGTATGTGGGGGGCGGGAAGCAGGGGCTGGTGGACAGAAAGGCCTAGAGCAGCCACCAGACCAGCTATTTTTCCTCCTTAGTTAAAGAAAACATATTTTAAAGATGAGCTTCAATACTGAGAGAAATTGTGTGGGTTGTGCTTTTACCCCAAATACTTTGCATTTGTGTTTAATGTCTGTCCCCCTTGGCCCCTGTGACATGCAAGTCTGGCTATACACGTCTATTTACTTCTGTTACTTCTATTCTGAATGACTTCCAAGTGGCAGGCTGGACGGGGGCTCACCTGTGGAGTGACCTGAGGGCGGGAAGGAAGCTGAGGTCCTGGAGAAAAGCAGCCAGGACGGCTCTGGCTCCGAGGAATTTCCCTTCCTGGAGACTGAGGCCTCTTCTCCCGTCTCCAACGCAGGACGAGAGGACTGGCTCAACACTGAAGTGGCCACAGGGGTCTGCACGGTCACTTCTTTGGGGAGCCCCTTCTCCCTCGCCGGGAAACCCCAGGAGGGTCTGCTCTCTGGGTGAGAAGGGGCACCTCTTCCTTCTGACCCTGGGCTGCTGGCTGGCAGGGGAAGCCTTCCCAAGGCTGAAAGCAAACAGCAACAATGAATGTCCCACCAGCAGACCTCCCAGTCAGAACCTGGTCCCCCTGACTCCAGGTTCCCTTCAACCCACCTCCCTCCCCAGACCGCTTATACCTGCCTGCCAGGTGACTCCTCCCCAAACTCACTTTAATCCTGTCACTGTCTGGATCAGAAACCTTCAGGAACTCTGGCCACTATAGCAAATCTAAACTGCAGCCCTTTCAAGTCCTCCACAGTTGTCCCTAACCCCATCCACACAACCTCCTACCCGCTGCTCCTCTCCTCTGTGACTCACGCCTCCCCCCAGGGAGGCTGCTGGCCTTGCAGCCCCACAAAGAGCCACGCTTCTCTCCTCTGTAGCGTCCCTCAGGTGGTCCAGGCGCCCACCCCGCAGCTGCTCTGGCATCTCGCTCAGATACACAGACTGGGGCTCAGATCCCAGCTCTGACTGTTAGCTGTCGGACCTACACCCTTTGGATGGACTGACTTCTCTGAGCTTCAGTTTCCAAATTCCTACGCGGAGGATAATGTGAGGACTGAGACCAGACACGCTGTGTGTCGCAGGGACTTAATCAGCGCTCATTTTCTGGCTTCCCTTCCTCAATCAAATCTTGTTCATCCAGCCCCGGCCCCTTCTTGAAATCCTTTGCTAAAAACAGCAAACCGCCAGCTGTGCAGACTGGAGCAGGAACATCCATTTGAGCCACGTACACACACACACACACACACACACACCACCGCACATGGCGCCTCTCATACTTGCAGCGTGTGGCGGGGTCACTGGGCGCCGTTTGCATTCAAACCGGCCCTGAATGTAGGCTCTATGGGACTGGACAGGCCTCTCAGCAAATCGGCACCCTGGTCTGGTTGATACTTCTAACGCGGTTCACCTCAGCGTGCCACAGGTCCAGCCCAAGTCACAGGGCTGGTGCCCACCCAGGACCCCGCGATGGTGCCCAGGCTCAGGGAGGGAGAGAGGAGACTGGCAGAAATGGTTTTCTAGGGCTCGACCTACATGAAGCCGGCATCGTCAGCACAGACTCACCTGAGGTGCTGCTCGGGGAAGTCAGAGCCGTTGCTCGCTCGGGCCCAGCAGGGGCAGTGGGGACCTTTGTTCTCCTCCAGGAGTGGTTTGTTCCTCCAGCAGCTGCTGTTTGAGCGTGCGGAGTGAAATTTTCTGGAGCATCTGAAGGAGCGTGGCTCTGGTCGGGGGTCTGAACCTTCAGCCCCTCCGTGGAGGCCAATGTGGAAAAGTCCACTTGATTCTGACCAAAGGTGATGTTTGCTGCATGGGGCTCAGTGCTGCCTTCTGGCCAGAGGTTCCTTACAGCAGCTGAAACAAACAGAAAAGGGATCGGTGAGAACCCGCTGGCTTCTGGAAAGAGAAAGGAACCTTCAGAAACCACGAGCAGCTTTGTCCGTAAGAAGTGGATTCAAGGATATTTTCACTACTCTCCCCCACTCCATCCCCCTCAGTAATTATTCTTACAATCAATCCAGTGGGAGAAATTAGGAAGCACGAATAGTGTATCGGACTAAATTTTACAGCACGTGGAATGAATGATGGAAATTGAGAGAGACCCACGTGGGGCTCAGGGAAGAGGACCGGACCCTCTGGCAGCTGGGCAGGCTCAGGGAGGGGCAGGGGATGCAGGTCAGGTGTGAGCAGAGGGAAGGAAGGTCTTCATGACCACAAGGCTATGAACTGGGCCTTCTCGATGGGAGCAGGGAAAAGCTGGCAGCTCTTAATCCTACACCTACTCTTGTAGGCAGGAGGTGGGACATGCATCGTTCTGGGAAAATATGTGAGGATTTGGCCATTTTACCAAAACCTTAGTAATGTACATGGGTTTGATGCAGCAACTTCACAGGAATGGAGGAAGAAAGAAAGAAAGGAAGGAAGGAAGGAAGGAAGGAAGGAAGGAAGGAAGGAAGGAAGGAAGGAGAGGGAGAGGGAGA